GTCCAGAAATAAACAATTCATAAGTTTTAAATATGTTGTCCTCACATTATGTTGGTAAACTTGTTCTATTTTATTATTAGTTATTGTTGCTAATCTCTTACTGTGCCTAATTTATAGGTGAATCTTTATCATAGGTAAATTCATTATTTGTATAAGGTTTAGGTCATTCTTGTTCTCTCCCTAGAGATGACTCTCTGTCAGTCTATTGACGATGTACTCCTCTCTTAATAAACTTTGCTATCATTTTCACTACAAGAAAAAGTTCAGGGGGGTTGGTACCAGTGGGAGGAGGGAGGAGTTGGGAAAGTGTGTAGGAGGGAGAATTTGATGCTAATACTGTGTACACATGTATGTAAATGGAAAAATGATATCTATTGAAACTATTCCTGGAATGGGGGGAGGAGGATAAAGGAGAATGGTGGAGAGGGTGAATTCAAGTATGATATATTTGACATGTAAGAACTTTTGTAAATGCCACAATGTACCCCCACCCAGTACAACAATAAAAAACATTTTTTAAAAAGTTCAGTACTGTCTGCTGTTACAGGCATCCACAGAATATCTTGGAACATATCTTTTGAAGACAAGAGGGGATCCCTTATTATAGACAAATATAAATAATGCAACATGATGGAATATCCAAGAGTTGGGGAAGTGCTAATATTTGTAGGGAGGGCCTCTATTATTGGGTGACATTTGATCTGAAGCCTGGATACACAGAGAACATGGGGCACAAGCAAGATCTATTTGGAGGTAAAACTGATGCTTGCCAAGGATAGAAGACAGATGGGTGAGACAGAGCCTGGGTTTATGAAGTTGGTCGTCATTGAATGGAGCAGGTCCAGGTCTCTTTTGAACATTAGGTTCCTGATGACCTGTAAGCCATCCACCTGTAGAGGGCAAGTGGACAGATGGACAAAAGTGTTGGGAGCCCAGGGGAGAGGTCTTAGCTAGAGAAACAAATTTGGAAGTCAATATTCTGCACAGCTCCTGGCAGACTGTCCAGGCACACATTTAGTAATTAATAAATGCTTATGCTTATGAAGTAACTGATTGATAATTGACAGAAAGGGCTAGTGAGAATTTTGCATAAAGGAAGATATTTTGAATCTCTTGGCAAAGAGTATTCAGGAAATGCCTGTAAAGCCAGGTGCTGTGGTGGCTCAATAAATATTGATTTATAGTGATGAATCTCAAGAACGCAATGAACTGTTCTTTCCATGGCTGACCCCAACTGGCTTAATTGGCACCAGGGTCATTGTTCAGTTGCATGTGCCTTCTGTTCCTCATCCTCAGTATCTTTTTTTCCTGGTGATTTGATTTCTGACCTGGGCATCTTACTTTGTTCTTCATCATTGCTACTTTGTTCTCACAGTCAGAAAATACTGTCATTCCTCAGATTGTCCCCAGTGAGTGTCTCATGGTCTACTCTTCACAGGTTTCTGAATCTGCCCTGAAGCACGACCAGTAATTGAGTATCTATCATGTGTCAAGCACCATACTGAATGCCTAACACATTTATAGTAACATGCAAAGTAGATGTTTACCCTTGGGTTCAGTTTTCTTCACCCTGGAAAAGCAAGTGGTTGGCTCTAAGGCAAATAGCTAGAAAGTAGTTAGGGCAAGAAGTCAAGACAAGTCCAAGTTGACTCTACAGCTGAGCTCCCTGCCTTCTTGGGCTTGCTAATTATAGAGTCAGTCTGTATCGTTGTGTCTCCTAGCTCCCCAGGGGAGTCCATTAGGCAGTTGGTATTGATGATTGCAATCAGTTATCAAGCCAGGTTGACCTGTGGCTTTGGCCTCAAGTGACAGTGTTCTCTATCTTTATTGTTGCAGACTTCACTTGGTGCTCTAAAGTGATTATTGATCTTATGAACTTGAGTACCCTGCCCTGAGAGGCCCATAGCCTAGGAAGGTATGAGTCATCAGAGAGACAACAGAGTGAGGATGCTGCATCGATCTAGCCAGGGACCAGGGCAGACAGAGCTAGGAGGAGATGGGCTAAAGACTAAGGATGCAGCGGAACTGTGTATATAAAGAAAACATGGATTCTTACTAGCTAAGAGGAAAGATGAGCTAGAAAAAATATTCATCAAAAATTATAATTCATTGTTCAAATGAAGTAGCTTATGACTTCAGGTAAAAGTCTTAATAAATCTTCAGTCTCCCCAGCCACATGCTCTTATGGGAAGACTTTCTGTCTTCATTGAGCATGAACCCTAAGCAGGCAGATGCATTAAGAGATGTTTGACTAAACACTGTCTGCAGCAGGAGCAAGGATTCCCCAGCATCCTAGAGGAGGTGGTACTTCCACTCCAAGGAGGCCAGGCCTATGAGGCCCAGCGATTTTGGCAGGAATCATGGCTGTGCCTGCTGGCACTTATCTGAGCTGCACCTGTTCCTCCAGCAAAGCTGACCCTTTATCACCTGACACCTGCCTAGTTGGCTGGCCTCCTAAGCCTACTGAGGCAATGGGTTGATAATCATCCACTTCATGTTAGGTTTCACAGCAGAAAAGGAATATGGACTTTCTAGAGGTCAGCTCCCTATGGATCAAGCATCAAACAGGTATCACTTATTAATGAATCAAATTGGCAAATATGGAAAGGTCAAAAGCTTGGTTTAAAAGACAAAACAGAAAGGGAAAGGAGCTACACATGCGTCCTATCACTTAATGATAGCAGATGGCGATGGCCGTGCAGAGTTAAATAGGTATGTGATGGTCCCTCAGCTGGATGTCTGAAGAACTTCACTTGAACACTAGGAGGGATTTCTAAGATTATTTGAATACAACCATCTCCTCCGCTAGAATGCTAGCTGACTCAGACAAGTGACATGGTTGCAAGGATTTTGAGAAACAAAGAGGTTCTTTCCCTCTTATACACACACACACACACACACACACACACACACACACAGAGAGAGAGAGAGAGAGAGAGAGAGAGAGAGAGAGAGAGAGAACCTTAAGTATACATGTACACTTAAAATTAAGTACACATTTTGTTCTCTTTTATCAAAATAAGCCAATGGCTTAATACTTTGCTGTATTTCCAGCACCTAGCCCATGACAAAACACAAAGAAGGTTCTCCACGTGGGTGTGCTAAATCCGTGAACAAAGAATTTACTGCACTCTAGGGCTCCAAACATTGGTGCTCAACCTTGTCTAGAGAATTGTTGTTAATACCTCTAAATAGAGTCCTTAGTTATATTCTCATTTTACAAGTATTTTCTCAAGATATCTAAAACCTGGACATCTCTAAGCATGGTTGCAAATTTTCTGAAGGATACTAAGAGTGGAGGAATTTTTAGTAACTTGTTTTATAATTCCCACTGAAAACACCCTGTTTAGACACCCTTATTTCAATTAAAGATATATATTTGTCCATTTTTGTCTTAAGTGTTATTGAATATTTGAAGGACAAAAGGCTGCAGAGTTAATGGCAAGATCAGACCCCCAAATTAATAAGTCATCTTGGAGTTTTTTATGATGGTCAGGTATTTTCTCCTCTCTAGTGATATTCCTAGGAAGAGAAAGTCTAGTCTAGTCTCCTCTGTATTAAAATCAAGACGATTTGATGAATTTCAGCATCCTCTACAGAAGTAAAATTTTATGTAGCAAAGTTTGCTAACCCTTAATAAGTTAGTTGTGGATATGAGTGTGCATGTAGCTAAGTCTTTGATATAGGCTCCAAACCATGGCCAGGAACTACCGATGTTCAAAGACAAGTCTCAAGAGTGTTGGACTTGGAGCCTTTTCCCCTTGACATGATGTTTTCAAAGATTCCCACTACTCTATATTTAATCAAAGTTAGAACAAAAAGCAGCAAGGCCCATGGGTCTTTAGTTTGAAGGATGTTAGGGTGGCTATTAAAAAAAAAAAAAACTGGTCACGATAAAAATAGAAAATAGAGCCCTAGTCCTGCCTTTCAAATCTGGTTGGTATCCCAGGTGACTGAAAACTGATTCATGAAAGAGGTCAGGGGAAACTTGTGAAGGCTGGTCAGGATTTTATGAAAAAAAAGAAATGCAGTACTGGGGATCAGATGCAGGGCCTGATTTCATTTCTGCTTCCTCTCCCCTCCTTTCCTCTCCTCTCTTCTCCCTTCTCCTTCTTCTCCCCTACTCTTCCCTCCCCTAACCCTCTTCTCCCCTCTCCTCTCTTCCTCCCTGCCTCCCTCTCTCTCTCAGTCTCTCAGTCTCTCTCTCTCTCTCATACTGGGGTTTGAGCTTAGGGCTCCCTGGTTGCTAGGCAGGCTGTCTACCATTTGAGCCACACTCCCCGTCATTTTTGGCTTTAGTTATTTTTCAGATATGGTGTACATATTTGCCTGGAACTGACCTTGGACCGTGAACCTCCTACCTATGCCTCCCTCATAGCTGAAATTACAGGCATGCACCACCATGCCTTATTTTTGAGTAAAGCATCTTGCTAACTTATTGACTGGGCTAGCCTTGAACCTTTATCTTCCCAATCTCTGACTCCCTTAGAGCTGGGATTACAGGTAAGAGCCATCAGGCCCAGCCCAAGTTGATACATTTTTACAGCTATGTCCACGATTAAAAATATAACTATTTTTCTGTGTCTTTATTATTTACAACATGTCATGTTAATATGACAAAGAATAAGGATGTGCTCACTACACTGTTGGAAATATTCAAATATTTATTGTTCTCTGAAAACATTTCATAATCAAGAGTGCTAAAAGCTGCAAAACAGTGGTAAACATCAACAACAAAGCAACCAGAACACAAATTTGGATGTACAATTTACCTCTGCATTGGATAAAAACGTGAGAGTTCTGACTCTAAATTTAGTGTATAAGTATTTTAAAAAGAATACCTGATTTTAAAACATAGATAATGAAGATGTTAAATGTGATGACACTCTAACAAACATTACTAGAAACCAACTCCCAGGAAACCTGAAGTCCTCCAATATCCACGGTGCTGACAATACATCATATTTAAAAAGGTGTATTGGAAATAGCTGTGTACTGACCTCCCGAGGACAAATGATCCTCTTGGGACGAGGTGCCTCTTGCTGTAACTGATACACTGTCGCCAAAAAAAAGAGAAAGGTTATTATAATTAGCAAACTGTAGCACATATAGCAACACACCTTCAAATATTTCCAGTTACATTTATCTTCAGAGCTGCAAATATTATAAAAAAGAGGGTACACGCACATTTTTTAGACTGGGTAAAATCAGATCATTTGTATGGAAATTAATCATCATGAATGTAAACTGGCAAAATTGATTTTTTTATTCTTATAAGTCCAATTTCGTTCCATAATTGTGGCAGGCATTGTTCATTTTTCGACTTCCTTGGAAGACTAGATACTGCTAAAATTCTTTTGACCATCTTAGAGATGAAATTCTATTTGCAAGAACCTGAGCAGGGAGACTGTGAAATAGGATTCCTGAATTTAAATGGCAATGTCTCTTGATGGCATTAGGAATGACATTCTCTGAAATGTTATAGTTATGTACAAAGACAGCAGATTCTGTGAGTGAGTGAAACACCAAGTCCCCCTCTTTCCATTTTTACCCTACCGTTCACCATGGATTTTCACCTATTTGACTACATCCCATCCGTTATCATTCCTCTTGCCTGGGCCTTTTCATGTCTTAAATAATAATAATAATAATAATAATAATAATAACTCTTCTAACCAGCTTTAATGGATAGACTCCCAGGCCTGGGAATGAAGAAAAGCAGGTGATTGTATGTAATACAATTTTTCAGACTATTATTTGTTTTTTTTTTCATTTTTCTTTTATTATTCATATGTGCATACAAGGCTTGGTTTATTTCTCCCCCCTGCCCCCACCCCCTCTCTTACCACCCACTCCACCCCCTCCCTTACCACCCACTCCACCCCCTCCCGCTCCCCCCCTCAATACCCAGCAGAAACTATTTTGCCCTTATCTCTAATTTTGTTGTAGAGAGAGTATAAGCAATAATAGGAAGGAACAAGGGGGTTTGCTGGTTGAGATAAGGATAGCTATACAGGGCATTGACTCACATTGATTTCCTGTGCGTGGGTGTTACCTTCTAGGTTAATTCTTTTTGATCTAACCTTTTCTCTAGTTCCTGGTCCCCTTTTCCTATTGGCCTCAGTTGCTTTAAGGTATCTGCTTTAGTTTCTCTGCATTAAGGGCAACAAATGCTAGCTAGTTTTTTAGGTGTCTTACCTATCCTCACCCCTCCCTTGTGTGCTCTCGCTTTTATCATGTGCTCATAGTCCAATCCCCTTGTTGTGTTTGCCCTTGATCTAATGTCCACATATGAGGGAGAACATACGATTTTTGGTCTTTTGAGCCAGGCTAACCTCACTCAGAATGATGTTCTCCAATTCCATCCATTTACCAGCGAATGATAACATTTCGTTCTTCTTCATGGCTGCATAAAATTCCATTGTGTATAGATACCACATTTTCTTAATCCATTCGTCAGTGCTGGGGCATCTTGGCTGTTTCCATAACTTGGCTATTGTGAATAGTGCCGCAATAAACATGGATGTGCAGGTGCCTCTGGAGTAACAGTCTTTTGGGTATATCCCCAAGAGTGGTATTGCTGGATCAAATGGTAGATCGATGTCAGACTATTATTTGTGATTCTTCAGACTACAAGTGATTTTTCTCCTCCTCAGCTAGTCTGATTATTTCTCTTTTTCTTTTATTTCCTTCTGTTTCACTTTGTGTTAGTGTGTGTGTGTGAGTGTGTGTGAGTGAGTGTGTGTTAGTGTGAGTGTGTGAGAGTGTGAGTATATGTGTGTGGTGCTGAGGATGGAGCTCAGAGCCTCATGCATGCTGGGCAAGTGCTCTACTATCACTGAGCCACACCCTCAGCCTTGGTTATTCTCCTGGAGAGAAAACTGTCTATACCAGCGCCTTTGGATTCTACTTTATACAAATAGAGACTGAAAACAAACCAAGTTGATCTTATTATGTTCAGAATCTTGAATAAGGAAGAATTAATTTTATACAGGGTAAATGTATGAACAGGTAACAACTAGATTATACAAAGCCTTTCTAGAAAATGTAGTGAGATATGCACAAATTTCTGATTTATTTCTAGGCCTAACGATTAAAAAAAATAAGAATTTTAATGGAAGGGCAGATGATCATATGGAAATAGATATGAAAATGATGGAACATGTTTTGAAATTATGGCTCCCTGGTGTCTTTGGCTCAACATGACTGTTTTCTTACATAATTAGGTAGGTGTAGACTAGGTCATATAGACTCCCCAGCACTAGCACAGAGAGGAAACTAACCCTTTTATACATGGACTGTGTCATGTTTTTAATGTGAGTTTCCCATAGTAATAATGATGAGTGTGTCACTTAAGGACAACTGTACCCACACAAGAAAGGACAACAGAGTTCAACATAGTCTTTTGGCTTGGAAGGACACCAAAAATGACAGACAGCTAAAAAGGTAGCCTCTAAACCCTTGTGGGAGTGGATGGAGAAAGGCTGAGCAGCCACGCACATATTGTTCAGCTTGTGCTGTGCGTTTCCATGGCCTTCTGAGGTACCACACTCTCTCAGTTTTTTTCATGCTTGCTATTTTCCTTTCCTGAGTCTGATGCTGCCTCCTCTGCCTGCTCAATGATCATAGGAGGTACATAGTATTTATTGTAGACCTCTGCAGGTAACATTCTCTTTCCTCCTCTTAAGGACTCTCCTCTGTATGTAACACTTCATGTAAAAGGCCCCATCACTGGTCAGCCTTCCTCTAAGCTCCAGGCCTTATACCCAGCTTCCTAGAAGTTCCCCCTGAGTTGCTCAAATGGACCTCAAATTCAACATGTCAAAGCTGAACTCAGGACCTTTGCATCAAATCTTCCAGAATCCTGATACCAGCAAAGGAGTCATCATTCATTTGATTTCCCTAGCCAACATTGTAGAACTTGTCTGTGACAGTCATATGATCAGCTTGTCATCAGGTCTGTCAGCTCTGACCACTTTCTCAAGTGTGTTCAGTCATCTCCATTAATAACATTAACATCCTACTCCAAGATCAAGACACTTAACTCCCTCCAGGCTGTTCTCAACCTGGTGGCCACATTCAATGTTTTAAAGTGTCACCCAGATCATATGCCTCCCCTGCTTCCAGGCTTCTGTAGCCTTCCATTGCTCTTGGATGAAGACCAAAGTTTCTCCCATGATGCAATGCCCTTAAAGGTCTTGCCTCAGGCTTCTTCTACAACCTCATTGTGCCTTCTGCTCAGCCAGATTTGTGTCCTCTCCCTTCTTAACTGTACAGTGCTCCCAGCCTTTGCACATGCTATCACTTCTATCTGTAGTATTCCCCTCTTCTCCCTCCCTACTTCTAGTTATCTATCTCCCAGTATCATGAGTTCAAATATCAATTTTTTTCAGAAGTTCTTGACATCTCTGACATCACACCCAAAGACATCACCTATTCTGGGCTCTTATAATCCCCTGTACTTTCCTTCATATAACTCATCCCATTAGAATTTTGGAGTGATTGGTATGAGTTATACCAAATTATTTCTACCCCCAGCTATTGTAAGTCCCACCATCAGAGATGGTAATTGTATTTATTTTACTTCGTCTTGTTTCCTCAGTATTTATTGAGATGCTATAGATATGAATACACATAAAATCACAGCTTCTATTGTAAGAATCCTATCTGCTTTGGGGAGAGATTCACAAAATAGAAATACTTTATGATACAGGGAAGTACATATGGAGGCGGCAAGGTACCATCTATTGAAGGCTGTAGGTTACCAATGTCCATCAGAAAGGAATAGTTAAATGAACTATGGTGTATCTTCCAATGGATACCATGCTTCTGCAATAAATATTGGCAAAGCTTTCTTTATCAATATCCATGTGTTCCACACCCATGGATTCAACTAATCACTGATTGAATCCATGAAAAAAAATTCACCTGTACTAAATATATGTCTTTTTTCTTCGTATTATTTCCTGAATACAGAAAAACAAACATTTCCATTGTATTAGGTATTAAAAATAATCTAAACATGATTTCAAGTACACAGAGCACATGCATAGGTTATTTACAAACACTATGTCATTTTATATAAGGGACTTAAGCATCTAAGAATATAGGTATGTGCAGGGATTCTTGAAATTAATCCTCCACAGATACCAAGAGACAAGTGTACATACATGCACACGTATAATATATGAACTTGCATTTTTAAAAAGGGGGTGCAAAGAAAGAGAAGACAGGAGTGGATGAAGGTCTTCATTGTGTATCTTATTCTACGTTTTGCTTGTTGAACCACATGTATGTATTGCTTAGTCAAAACAAGTTGAAAAAAGCTAGGAGAGATGGGGTCTAAGGAGGCTGCTAGTAACCATGCTGAAAAAAGGCCAATGAGAGACAGAAATAATTGTGGACATTCCATTGGCTTTCCCAGGGCTGCTCATGCCTTCCTTGAATCACCAAGAGGAAACATGGAGTCCCTTTGTTCCTCTTGAATCCACCCCCACATTACTGTGCTGATCTTTAGCAGGACGTTGCTGTCAGTGAGAAAGATGGAAACCAAATGGCCATATCCTAGAATCAACTGTGGAGTTGCAGAATCCACAGTTCTGTCCACTCTTCCCTTCCCATTGTCTGTGCCTCTGGAAACCGACAGTTACAATTACAAGATAATTGCTTTTATTACATTCTTGCTCCTTCCAGAGCTTATTTATACAGATATAAGCAAAACTGAATATATACATATTATTATTTTACTCCCTTTTTAAAAATGCAAGTTCATGGGGGCCTAGATGGACTGGCTCTGTGAACACCATTTTTAATGGAGGAGGTAAAGGAAATGTACCTGTGATAACAGAGAAGCATTTTTAGCAAATGCTCATTTGTGATTCCTATCAGCAAATCTGTGAGCATCTGCTATTTGCCAGACACCTCAGTTAATGTTACATGTTTGAGATGGAGGCTGTGAGGATGAATGTGGCGGTGGGCAGGAGGGAAGGGAACAGTGTATTAAGTTCCTGCCACATGTCAGGGACAATATTTTATTAAGTCTCCTCAAGAACCCAG